CTATTGAATTGTCTATCGCTGTTGCAAATTCCTTGAATGCGAGGACTTGGGCATAAAACTGCATGCGGAAGAAATGCTTTATGGAATGCTTCCTCGAGTTAGAAGAACGAAAGTTTTTAGCTTTATTTTTTAGCAACAAAAGTTAGCTGATTAAATGAAGTCATGAGAAAAGAATTGGGAAAGCCTATTCTTCTGCTCTTCATTCCATTTGGTACAATTGAATTTAAGGGTCCACTTTTACATTCAAATTTTAATTCTAAAAAAAATTACGATTTGCTTTGACTCTAGTAATCTAATAAAAAATAAGCAAAATGATGTATGTATCAATATTTAAGAATATCATTGCATTTTAGTAGCTTCAAGAATGTAGCTCATGGTTTATTGAGTCCTCCAAATTTATGAGAGCATTAAGTGATTTATCTCACCAATAAAGCATATTTGTTAGGAATATACCTACTAAACCGCTGCTTTTAGTTCATATAAAAAAATTTGTAACAAAGTGATCAAGTTGTAGTAGGATGTTTAATAACTTAGCCGCATCGAACCTGAAACTAAAAAGCTCTTTGTAGCTTATGGAACGAGGCTCTTTGTCGGAATTAGCCCTTTTGGAGTTAGAAATCTACAGGAAGATGATTGAATGTGAGGAGAAGAGGTTTGTATACATTCAAATTTCTAGTAAAGGGGAAAATAGAGAAAATTCAGATGGGGAAAGCGAGAAGTAAACAGGACGCAGGAATTAGTCAAGATACAAGAGTCATACGCTCAAATCAAGAAGCATAAGACGTATACCGTATGTTTGAGCTATCACTGGATGAAAAAAAGTTCTTAGAAAAAATTTTTGATTTTAGGGCGATATCCGCATCAAGGATTGTGACGAGCATGGCAATTTTGTGGTCATTGAAAATGCCGGTCGCGATGATGTGAGTAGATAGGATGAAGGGTTATTTCATGGAAAAATATAAAATTTTAGCGTCGTTTGAGCGGATTTCGCATCAGCAGGATCATAGACCGTGAAGAACGATCGTTCACATTCCCAGCCCTCTTCACGCTGGGCCCTAGAGAAACTGTTCAGGTGGGACTTGTTGGACTTTCTGGATGTCATATTTCATTTCTTGAGGCTCAAACCATCTTGCAGGTATCAGCAATTGGCTCTAGCCCTGATAGAGACAACTATACCCATCACCTCGTATACGAAAATGACACCACTTGGGGCACCAGCGCTGCCTTTGTCACCCGCCTATTCAACCCCCAAGGCGAAGAAGTTGCATTTTTTGAAGTACGACCAGCGAGTTAAAGACTTTATTAATATGTTATCTTACTTTTGTTCATTGGAATATGCATACATTTAAATACAAGTGTAATCAACTCCATTATTTGGTAGCTCGAACAGTCGGCTACCTTGTAAGTGATGATCGGCTTGGTGGCGCGTTTGTTCGACTCTTCCATCTCTAACTCGACATACGCGTTTGAAGCCGATCTGGTGTGGTTGTATGGCGATGGTGAAGTCTGAGGTTGCAAATGAGCTGTC